GCGAAACTCCGACTCAAAAAAAAAAAAAAAGAAAAAGAAAGTCTTCTCTTAACACCTTAATAGCTCTAACAATACTGGTTCTGTTTTTTTTCCATGGGGGGTTACAGGGCTGTCGTCTGGACCGTGGGCTCTTTGGGGGCATATGAGTCCGGCTCCCCTCTCTTTTAGTCCAGTGGCCCTTCCATTAGATTGAACAGAGCCCCTTCACTTTTAATCTGGATCCTCGTGCTTAGGATTGCCCTGTTCTCCCATTAACTGTGGGCATTTTTTCCCAATGTCCTATTTCTAGACAAAATGCACACTGATCGCGTTGCAGGCGTGGGCGGGCAGACTGCGGAGCTTTCCAGGAACCCCCCTTTTTCCACGCTCTTGGGGCACTCCTCTCATAGCAGTAGCTATCAAGTCAGCCTTCTGTTATACCTGACGTTCCCTTTCCCTATGATTTTCCCTCTGGCTTACTGCCTCTTGGTTTACAAACACCTGGTTAGCTACTTCCAATAACTGAAGTATTCATGCATGCAAATCCTGCCTGTTTCTGCCACTGAATTTGCCTGGACTTGGGAGTCCACGTTTCTTGGCGGTGATGGGGATGGTGGTTCTAGCAGTCTGTCCCTTGGCTACTAAAACAGTCGCTGCCTGCTCTCTTAGCCACTTCGTAGGGTTTAACACTAACTGCAACCACGAGTCTATGTATGGAAATTGATCAAGGAGTTCTAGCTCGCCGTATATAACCTCATGCCTTACTTTGGCGACGAGGGGCCTATCTAGGGTCCCCTCTGGGGGCCAACCTACGCTAAATGCTGACCAATCTTCCCTACATAAAACCCTTAATTTCTCTGGTGTCACAGTTACTTTATAATTCCCACTAAATCCCTTCTTGAAAATTTTCAGCATGGTTTCTAAAGGGGTGGACTTGCTATGGGACTGACCTCTATTAACACTTCAAAGAAACAATTCCCAGTTAGGAGAGTATTAGTTCATTCACAGCAGTTCCCGCCTAACAAGACGCACACAGAACACTCTCTCGATTTACATTAACTTCAGTCCTTTTACAATGCCCAGAGGCTTCTTCACTGAGCCTTATGTGGCTGTCTCTAATTCTTACAAATTGCTCAACCATGAGGCGCTTCCTAATGGGCCCGATACCTTTTACAACTGATGAGTCCAGTTGGACACATCTACACACAGAGACACACATCCGATTGCTCGCCCTCCAATTCAAAACCATAAGCAAAAGCTTCCAAGGTTAGTTACAGAGAGAGCTACCTTCCAAAGTGCTGATCTGGCACCCGTGGGTGATCAGGCCACGCTTCCACCCAAAATGGGGTGGGCTACTTTCCTGGGTTCAATCTTACCAAATTCAGTGGTCCGGACTTCCCCAAATACTCGTTCCTCCTCGGTGTTCAGCCACTGGATGGATCCGCACTGTAGGGCCTCCCTGCTCCGCTCTGGCAAGGCTTTTCCACCAGGCAAATACCTGCCCGGAGCGCTCTCAGGATGCGTCACCCCAGTGAGCAGGAGTCCCCTGCAGGGATGCTCCACAGGGCTAGGCAAACCACCTAAGAGACCTTTTCCCCGCCGTCCGCTATCCGAGACTCCCTTCCCGGCCAACACACCAAAATGTAGCAGGATCTGACATGGGAAACAGATCTCTCAGACACCGAATACAGGAGGAAGGAGGGTTTATTCGGCCGGGAGCAAGATGGCATAGTTGCCTAACAGCCAAGCTCCCCTAACAAAGGAAGGTTCGGTCTTTATTTAGGCTTATACTTTAGATGTTACACGTGGAAGAATCTTAGGTTTATAGTTTAACATATGAAAAGGGTCTTGGTTTACAGTCTCAGGAATTACATATGAAAATGTTCCAGTTTACAGTCTTAGGAATGAGAAGGGGAAGTTGATCTGAGATGCCTGGGTCTCCCTCTTCAATAATAATCCCTTTTAAAAACTAACTTCCTTCAAGCTTCCTTGCTTTTTGCTAATAACTCTTTGTTAAGCCCTATGTAGCTGCTAAACATAGTAAGAGAATAAATACATTCTATGTCCTTGTACTTTAACCAAGCTATTTGTTTTGGCCTATAGCTGCTCAGACAGGTCCGAACATGCCCAGGCATCTCCCAGCTTACAGCTACGCCTCTTCCTTATTCGGAAATATTATTGTTCTCCTAGTTTCCCATAAACAACCCCCTTCCTTTCTTTGTTCTCCATCGAGCATTTACCTATTTAGGAAAGTTTTAAGTTTTTAGCCAATTGAGGTCAGTCTAGATGGTATAGTCCAGCTCCAGCCAATGGAGATAGGACGCAGCAGTAAGGACCCAGTGCGTCAGGGACAAAAACTTCTGCTTTTATTTGTTCAATGTGTTCTCATGACAATCATACTTCCAAGAAGCACCCTTTCTGCAGAAAGTAAAATTGCCTTGCTGAGAAAATTTATAGTCAAGTGCTATTTCCTTTGCAGCACTGAAAATTTTACTTCTAACCGTAACATGTGTTACAGGGTTGTAGCCTAGGAGCCATCGGCCATACCGTACAGCCTAGGTGTGCTGTTGGCTATATCACCTAGGTTTGTGGAAGTACACACTACGATGTTAGCATAATGGTGAAATCACCAAATGACACTTTTCTCAAGCTCCTCCTCATATGGCAAGCAACGCATGAATGTACATGAAAGCTGTTAAGTAGGGATTAAGTTTCTAAATTAATCTCTAAAATAGTCATTATTTACTATATATGGAATTTTTTTTTTTTTTTTGAAAGGAGCAAAAGTCTCATTTCAGTGGGAACTTAATTTGGGGCTAGAGTGTTTTATTTAACTTTCACCCCAAAGTTGTAAAGTGTTTTGTTTTGAAGTGTTTTCCCTGTAAAATAAATATTTTAATTCAATTTAAATAAAACCCACCAGGAAAACCTCAAGCTTAAGAAGTCTAGCTTCCTATGAAATCTGAGAGGAAGTTACCACTGATTTCAGAAATCCAATTATAACAATAGGTCCATACTTAAATGAGGTGAACCTTGTAATCCCTTCCATTTTAAAACCATCGCTATGCACCACATGCCTATGCTAGGCACTGGAATAAGATGAAGCACCTTCTTGGAGTTTACACACTGGTAATTGTGCCAGTCAGTCAGTAATAAGATAGGTAAGAATGGCTGTGGGGGAAGTCAGCTGGGTTCTAGTTTATAGTCAAATTTCAGGAACGTATTTAACATGCTGACTTAACAACCTAAGCCTCTTCTCCATGTGTGCACACAGGGCAGACCTCTGAAGGGTGGCACTGTAACTTCTAGGGTAATGTGGTAAGTCAAGGCAGGATGACAGTTCAGCCTCCTCCCAGGCTAATGCAAAGGGCTCTTCACTCAGATTGAAGCCTTCTCTCCCAGACTGAATTCCCCACCCCCAACAGCCCTCCTATAGAAAATCTGGAGTCCTCGCTTATTCCCTGGTGGCCCCTACCCAATAGGGTGGTGAATTAATTATCAAGCATGCAACAAAAGATATAGAGGTTAGCGAAAATGGCAACATTTTGGAATAAATGACTGTAATGTGCATTCTGCCTGCCACCCTAACTGGCACACATTTTGCAGGTCACTTGCTCTCTCTGGAAGAAGGAGTATTCTCAGATTGCACCTCGGAGGAGGAAGAGTTGAGGCTGCCAGAACTGGGCTAGCACTTCTGAATATCCCGAGGCAAGGTCCCGTGACTTCCCTGGGAAGCTCTGCCTTGCCCCCACCCCACTCCACCCTACCCCACCCCACCACACCAGGCTGCTGGAGTCCTGGGACCCACCCAGGTCTGTGGCCCAAATCCTTCCTAGCTAAGGGGCGTGGAGGGGTGTTCCAGCAGGGCGAGGTGGGAAGGGGGGCTTGGGCGGGATTGTGACATAAGATCGCCATGGTGACATGGAGCAGATCTAGACCCAAGTGTAATAAAGGTAGCGTAAATGAAGGTGTCATAAAGGACAGGGCGGGGTGCGTGCTTGTCAGGGACGCCAGCCTCTAGGGCTGCCAGAATGGTTCCCACTCAATTCGTGGTGCCAGTGCTTATCATGTCCCACCTGTGTCTCTGGGCCCCATGACCCCTCCTCATGTGGCAGCTATTTCGGCTACTAGTCCAGGAGGCGAAGCCTCTGGAGTGGGTCAAGGACCCGCTCCAGCTGACCTCTAACCCCCTGGGGCAGACTGAGCCCTGGTCTTCCCACTCCAATCTCCCATGGGAATCTCCCCATGCACTTCCCTGGCAGGCCCCAGAGGCTTTGACTACCTGGGGTGGTCTGCTTCCTCCCAGAGGTAAGCCCTGCCCCAAGAATCGACTGAAAATTTGGTTCCATTCCTGGACACGGATTCTGCTGGAGAGCTGCCACCAGTGCCAGAGCCCTTCTCGTCTGCACACCGAGATCTGAATGACAAGCTGACTCGGCAAGAAAGGCTTCCACAGGTGGGTCCAATGCTCGGCTGGGATCAGAACCAGACCCTAGTTCAGCCTCCTCGCCTCAAAAGGAAGATTCAGACTACAGATCTAGATCACGCTGCAGATCATCAGGCAAATGAAATACTTGTTCCACCTCCAGATAGCAAGGATTCAAAAGCAACCGACATTATAGTTTCTCCCAAGAACTTGAAGAATGATGTGGATCAGCATGGGAGGCTTGCTGAGGTTGTGGGAATTCCACATCGATTTGTATCAAAACCTGAGCATCAGAAACAAACTTTGCAGGATGAGTATTTAGATTCAAGTATGGATATGCTGTGTCCTCCAGAACTCCAGGTGAACTGAGATCAGCCTCCAGGGCCCCCTGAGCAAGTTGGACTTTCTCAATTCCATCTAGAGCCCAAAACTCAAAATGCAGAGACCCTTGAAGACATCCAGTCCTCTTCCCTACAGCAAGAAGCCCCAGTGCAGTTTCCACAGCTCCCTGAGGAGGCAGAACCTTCTTCAACCCAGCAGAAGGCTCCAGCTCTGCCTTCACAGTCCCTTCAGGGGGGTCCACTCTTCCTCAACAGAGCAGGAGTCCCCTGTACAGCAGTTACCTGCCTCTGAAGAGATCGTAGCTCACCCATCGATACAGCACAAGGTAGATATTCCCTTTAAAAGTTGGTGTGAAGCTCAGCACTCACACTGGCCCAATGTCACAGTCAAGCCTGTGGATGTGGAGCTTACAAGAACTCCAGAACCAGGTAAGGAACTTACATCAAGCCAGGAACAGGCCACAGCTCAGCCTCCAGAGCACCCCGAGGAGGTGAACTCTTCCTCAACCCAATTAGAGGCCCCAGCTCAGACACCAGAGCGCCCTGAGGAGAGGAAACCTTCTGCATCCCAGCAAGAGACCTCAGCTGAGCCTCCGGGGCCTCCCGTGGAGGCTGAACGTTCCCCCAGTGAGCAGAAGCAGCCAGCTCAGCCTTCCGAGTTTCCTGCGTGGCCTGAACCTTCTCTGACCCAGCAGGAGGCCCCAGCTCAGCCTTCAGAGTCCTCCAAGGAAAGTCTAGCTCAAGCTCCACCGAATCATGAGCTGACAGTTCAGCCTCCAGATGGGGATCAAGCTCATTATAATTTGCCCAACATTACAATGAAACCTACAGATGTGGAGATTACCATAACTTCAGAGCCTACCAAGGAGACAGAATCTTCCCAAGCCCAGCAGGAGGCCCCGACTCAGTCTCTAGAGGAGGTGGAACCTTCTGCAACCCAACAGGAGGCCCCAACAGTACCTCCACGTCTACCTATGGAGACTCAACTTTCCCCCAGTGAGCACGAGCAGCCAGCTCTGCCTTCTGAATTTTCTGGGAAGCTTGAATCTTCTCAGACCCAGGAGGAGATCCTAGCTCAGCCTCAGGAAGAGATGGAACCTTCTGCGATCCAAGAGGAGATCCCAACTGAGCCTCCAGGTCCTCCTATGGAGACTGAACTTTCCCCTAGTGAGCAGCTAGCTCAGCCTTCTGAGTCTTCTGGGGAGCTTGAACCTTCTCAGACCCAGGAGGAGACCCCAGCTCAGCCTCCCAAAGAGATAGAACATTCTCCAATCCAAGAGGAGACCCCAACGGAGCCTCCAGGTCCTCCTATGGAGCCTGAATTTTCCCCCAGTGAGCAGCTAGCTCAGCCTCCTGAGTCTTCTGGGGAGCTTGAATCTTCTCCAGCCCAGCAGGAGACCCCAGCTCAGCCTCCAGAACATCACGAAATAACAGTTTTACCTGCAGGTCACCATCAAGCTCAGCATTCAGATTTGCCCAATGTCACTGTTAAGCCTCCAGACATGCAGCTCACCATAGCGACAAAGTCTACTGTAGAGATGGGAACTTCTCCAATCCACCAGGAGGCTACAGCTCAGCTCTCAGGACCAGTTACGGATGTAAAACCTTCTGCCACCCAGCACGGGGGCCCACCTCTGCCTCCAGAATCATTGGAAGAGGTTGGACCTTTACCAATTCAACAGGAGACTTCAGTTCAGTCTCCAGAACCTATTAAGGATGAGAACCCCTCTCCAACCCAGCAGGAGGCTGCAGCTGAGCATCCACAGACCCCTGAGGAGGTTGAGTCTCCTCTAAACCAGCAGGAGGTCCCAGCTCAGCCTTCACAGTCCCTTGAGGGCTCCACTCTTCTTCAACAGAGCAGGAGACCCAAGTGCAGCAGTTACCTACCCCTGAAGCGATCGCAGCTCACCCATCGATACAGCACAAGGTAGATATTCCCTTTAAAAGTTGGTGTGAAGCTCAGCACTCACACTGGCCCAATGTCACAGTCAAGCCTGTGGATGTGGAGCTTACAGGAACTCCAGAGCCAGGTAAGGAACTTACATCAAGCCAGGAACAGGCCACAGCTCAGCCTCCAGAGCACCCCGAGGAGGTGAATTCTTCCTCAACCCAGTTAGAGGCCCCAGCTCAGACACCAGAGTGCCCTGAGGAGAGGAAACCTTCTGCATCCCAGCAAGAGACCTCAGCTGAGCCTCCGGGGCCTCCCGTGGAGGCAGAACATTCCTCCAGTGAGCAGGAGCAGCCAGCTCAGCCTTCTCAATCTTCTGGGGAGCTTGAACCTTCTCAGACCCAGGAGGAGACCCCAGATCAGCCTCCAAAAGAGATGGAACCTTCTGCAATCCAAGAGGAGACCCTAATGGAGACTCCAGGTCCTCCTATGGAGCCTGAACCTTCCCCCAGTGAGCAGGAGCAGCTACCTCAGGCTTCTGAGTGTCCTGCGGAGGCTGAACCTTCTCTTACCCAGCAGGAGGCCCCAGCTCAGCCTCCAGAGTCCTCTATGGAAAGTCTAGCTCAAGCTCCACCGAATCATGAGCTGACAGTTCAACCTCCAGATGAGGATCAAGCTCATTATAACTTGCCATAGTATTATAATTAAACATGCAGATGTGGAGATTACCATAACTTCAGAGCCCACCAAGGAGATACAATCTTCCCAAGCCCAGCAGGAGGTCCCAGCTCAGCATCTAGAGGAGGGAGAACCTTCTGCAACCAAACAGGAGGCCCCAACTGAACCTCCAGGTCCTCCTATGGAGTCTGAACTTTCCCCCAGTGAGCAGGAGCAGCCAGCTCAGTCTTCTGAATCTCCTGGGGAGCTTGAACCTTCTCAGACCCAAGAGGAGACCCCAAGTCAGGCTCCCAAAGAAATGGAACCTTCTGCAATCCAAGAGGAGACCTCAATGAAGCCTCCAGGTCCTCCTATGGAGGCTGAATTTTCCCCCTGTGAGCAGGAGCAGCCAGCTCAGCCTTTTGACTCTCCTGGGGAGCGTGAACCTTCTCAGACCCAGGAGGAGACCCCAGCTCAGCCTCTCAAAGAGATGGAACATTCTGCAATGCAAGAGGAGACCCCAATGGAGCCTCCAGGTCCTCCTATGGAGCCTGAATTTTCCCCCAGTGAGCAGGAGCAGCCAGCTCAGCCTTCTGAGTCTTCTGGGAAGGTTGAATCTTCTCCAGCCCAACAGGAGCCCCCAGCCCAGCCCCCAGAACATTGCGAAATAATAGTTTTACCACAAGGTCACCATCAAGCTCATCATTCTGATTTGCCATATTTGCATCTCCAGAGGTGCAACTCACCATGGCAACAGAGCCTACTGCAGAGATGGGAACTTCTGTAATCCACCAGGAGGCTACAGCTCAGTTCTCAGGACCCATTAGGGATGTAGAACCTTTCCCCACCCAGCACCGGGGCCCACCTCTGCCTCCAGAGTCATTGGAAGAGGTTGGACCTTTTCCAATTCAACAGGAGACTTCGGTTCAGTCTCCAGAACCTATTAAGGATGAGAACCCCTCTCCAACCCAGCAGGAGGCTGTAGCTGAGCGTCCACAGACCCCTGAGGAGGTTGAGTCTTCTCTAAACCAGCACAAGGCCCCAGCTCTGACTCCACAGCTCCCTAATGAAATTGTAGCTCAACCTCCTGAGCATCATGAGATACCAGTTTCTCCTCTAAGTCATGACCAAGTTCAGCCTCCAACATTGCACAATGTCACTGTTAAACCTGTGGATCACATCGTTACCATGACTCCATATTTCACTCATCAGGTTGAAATTTTAACCCAACAGGGGGCCCCAGCTCAGTTCTTAATGTCCCCTGAGCAGTTTCAACATTTGCAAGAGATTATAATTCAGCAGCTAAATACCCCTGAAAATGATGAACTTCCTCCAGTCCATCAAGAGCCCAGAATTCAGCCTCCAACTCAGCTCTCCTCAGACTTTGAAAGTCCATTGAGTAATGAGATGGTATTTCACCTCTAGATCTGTCTCCAGTATTCAGAAGTAATTCACCTTTGCCTAGTAACGCAGTTAAAAATGTGGATCTGGAGTTTAACATACCTACAGCAGTCACTGTGGGGATTGAACCTTCTCCAGTCCAGCAGGACAACCCTCATATTCCCACTGAGCAGGCAGACTTTTCTCTAGTCCAGCCTGATCTCTGTTCCCCACCTCTGCATTCTCCTGAAAAGATTGAAACTCCAGTCCGCAAGAGGCCACAGCTCATACTCCAGATTCCTCTAAGGAGGCAGAACCTTCTCAACCCCAGCAGGAAGCCATAGTTTAGGCTCCAGAACCCCCTAAGGTTGTAGAACCTTCAAGCCAGCAGATGGTCCCAGCTCAGGTTCCAGAGCCATCTAAGGAGGTTGCAGCTCAACCTCCAGCTCATTATGAGATGACAGTTCCAACACCAGGTCAGGATCAAAGTCAGCATTCAACATCACCTAGTGTCACAGTTCAACCTTTGGACCTGGGGCTTACCATCACTCCAGAATCCACGACAGAGGTTGAACTTTTTCCAACCATGCAGGAGACCGCAACTCAGACTCCTAAGAAAGTTGTACGCCAACTTCCAGTATATCAAGAGGTAACAGTTCCAACACCAGGTCAAGATCAAGCTCACCACTCAATATTGCTTAGTGTCACAGTTCAACCTTTAGACCTGGGGCTTACCATCACCCCAGAATCCGCAACAGAAGTTGAACTTTCTCCAACCTTGCAGGAGACCCCAACTCAGCCTCCTAAGAAAGTTGTACCCCAGCTTCCAGTATATCAAGAAGTAACAGTTCCAACACCAGGGCAGGATCGAGCTGAGCACCCAATGTCACCCAGCGTTGCAGTTCTGTCTTTGGACCTGGGACTTACCATACCTCCAGAACCCACTACGGAGGTTGAACATACTACACCCCTGAAGAAGACTATAGTTCCTTCGAAGCACCCTAAGATGACACTTCCACATCCAGACCGTGTTCAGATTCAGCCTTCAAACCTGACTCAAGCCACAGTTCAACCTCTGGATCTGGGGCTTACCATCACTCCTGAATCCACTGCAGAGGTTGAACCTTCCACAGCCCTGATGACTACAGCTCCTCCTCCAAAACACCCTGAGGTGACACTTCCACCTTCAGACAAGGGTCAGACTCAGCATGCAAACCTGACTCAAGTCATAGTTCAGTCTCTGGACCTGGAGGTTATCGTAACTACAGAACCTACTACAGAGGTTAAACCATCTCCAGCCACAGAGGAGATCTGGGGCTTGCCATAACTCCAGAACCCACTACAGAGACTGGACATTCTGTAGCCCTGGAGAAGACTACAGCTCCTCGTCCAGACGAGTTTCAGACTCAGCATCAAAAACTGACTGAAGTCACAGGTCTACCTACTGATCAGAACCTACTCAGGATTCACTGGTGCAGCCTGAAACTTACGCCCAACTTAACTGCACAGAGGAACAGGCCTCCGCAAGCACCAACATATGTGACCTCTGTACCTGCAGAGATGAGACGTTGTTGTGTATTGATCTCAGCCCAAAGCAGAAGGTCCGCCACGTGCCTGTGCCAGAGCCCAACACCTACAATGGCACCTTCACTATCTTGTAAGCATCACCTTTCCTCCATTGTCCTCTGTGTCCTGCCTGACATGGCAGGCTTTTCCTGGAGGCCTTCCTGGGCCTTCTTTATCTCCCCAAGCCATACTGACAGCTGACTTTCTGCTTTCACCTTTGTTTGTCCACTCTTCCTCCTCCTCATTCTCCTTTACTGTTAGGCTCCTTCTCCAGTCTTTTGCTTTTGATTGCTCAGCAACATACATATTAAATGTACAAACAAATTATTAAAAGAAGTGATACAGAAAATAATATGTGTAACTTGATTTCATTTATATAATGTTATATAATGTTCAAGAAGGCAAAACTAAACTATGTTGTTTATGAATGACCTATAATAGTTAAAACTACATTTTATTTTATTCATTTATTTTGAGACAGATTCTCGCCCTGTCTCCACGCTGTAGTGCGGTGGCGTGATCTCGGCTTACTGCAACCTCTGCCTCCTGGGTTCAAGTGATTCTCCTGTCTCAGCCTCCTGAGTAGCTGGGATTATAGGTGTGCACCACCATGCCTCGCTAACTTTTGTATTTTTAGTAGAGAGAGGGTTTCACTATATTAGCTAGGCTGGTCTCGAACTCCTGACCTTGTGATCCACCTGCCTCAGCCTCCCAAAGTGTTGTGATAACAGGCCACTGCGCCCAGCCTATTTTATTTTTTTTTTTGAGGAAGGGTCTGTGGTGTGCAAATATGGCTCAGTGCAGCCTAGACCTCCCATACTCAAGTGATCCTCCCATCTCAGCCTCTGCAGTAGCTGGGACTACAGGTGCAGGCCAACATGCCCAGCTGATTTTTAAAATTTTCTAGAGACAAGGTCCTGCTGTATTGCTCAGACTGGTCTTCAACTCCTGGGCTCATGCAATCCTCCTGCCTTGGCCTCCCAAAGTGCTGGGATTACAGGTGTGAGCCATGGCGCCCAGCCAGAACTATTTATTTTATTTTACATTATTTTTTATTTTATGGTTTTAATTAATTTATTATTATTATTATTTTGAGACCAAGTCTCACTGTGTCGCCCAGGCTGGAGTGCAGTGGTGCTATCTTGGCTCACTGCAATCTCTGCCTCCCAGGTTCAAGCGATTCTCCTGCCTTGGCCTCTCGAGTGTCTGGGATTATAGGCAGACACCACTACCACCTGGCTAATTTTCGTATTTTTAGTAGAGACGGTTTCACCATGTTGGCCAGCCTAGTCTTGAACTCCTGACCTCAAGTGATCCACCTGTCTCAGCCTCCCAAAGTGCTGGGATTACAGGCATGAGCCATGGCACCAGGTCAGAACTACATTTTAAAAGCAAGAAAATTATTACAAAGGATAGGATAGTGGTTACCTGTAAGGGTTAGAGAGAGGTTTATGATTGGAAAGGGGCACACTGGGGGCTTCTGGGAACACTAATTTGTTTCCTTGTTGCTGAAGTGATGAGAGACATATAATGTCCACCCTCACGGAGCTGGAGAGGAAGGACAAGGCAAAAGAAGTCTCGTCTTTAGACTTACTAGACTCACATAGCGTCTTTCTTCTCCGGCATGTAAGGCATTGTCTAAATAGGTCCAGTTAAAGTACTACGGGGTAGCCATCTTTTTAAAAAATTGTTGGCCACATTTTAAAGTTCACAGGGGAGGGGGAATGTCTCATACTCCAGCCCTCCAGAACCTAGGCCCTCTGTGAGATGTGTCACAGTTTCTTGGACACCATACTGAAACAGGAAAAGTTCCCTTGTCCCCCTTGCAGGGCATGGGACAGTGGGGGTGACTTGCTTCTTCAGTGCCCTGCTGCTCAAACCTCAAGGGGAGCAGACAGGCAGGCAGGTTGTGGGGCTCCGACCCCAGGGCAGTGTCTAAGGGTGAATGCTTGCAGCTCCTGAAGCCGCAGTGGGTGTGTGCTACCGGGTGCTCTTTTAGTTTTGCCTTTTTAGGCGGCATGTGTTAACCAACTCAGTTAGGCCCTCTACCTTGTTGCAAGGACAGAGGGCTTTCTGTATCCCAGGTTCTTGCCTTGGTGTGCTGGAAGAATCAGATCACACCTGGGCTTGGAGAATGGGTGTAAGGTTTTACTGAGTGAAGGTCGCTCCCAGAAGATGGGGAAAGCCAGATGGGATGGAGTGGGAAGATTTTCCCCTGGAGTCACCCGGGCTGTCCTCCCACTGCCCCAACCTCTGCCTCAGCCCACCAGTTGGTGGCCTGCCCGGGGTGCTCCCCTCAAAGTCCTCTTGATGTCCAGCATGAACACAAAGAAGGAAACAACAGACACTGGGGTGTACCTGAGGCTGGAGGGTGGGAGGAGGGAGAGGAGCAGGAAAAACTACTGGGTACTAGGCTTAGTACCTGGATGATGAAATAATCTGTACAACAAACCCCTGTGATACAAGTTTACCTATATAACAAAGTGCGCATGTATCCCCTAACCTAAAATAAAAGCTTTTTTTAAAAAAAGGAAAAAAACACCTGGAAGAAAAGAAAAATGTTAAATTAAAAAAGAAGAAGACAATGCTCCTAGTGCCCCCATCATTCAGGAATCTCCAAGGATTTCAGGAGCTCTGTGTTAGGAACTGGGGGCAGAGACCAAATATTTATTTCTTCTTACATCGCATAACCCAGATAGGAAAACAGAAATTACTCTAGATATTTCACAAAAAGGGGTTTCATACAGGCAATTAATGCTTATCATTGGAGTGGCTAGAGTGGCGAAGGTTGGGGAGGAGGGGGTTGCACCACTGGCTTTCAGGCTAATTTACCACAGCTGATTTCCAGAGGATGGAAGAAGTCAGGAAACGTGGGGAACTGCTGCTGAGGTCCTTGAAGCCCCATGGTCCCCAGGCTGGTGACTGGCGGGGAATATGGAGTCCAGGTGACCACCAGAGCCTGCACCCCTGCTGCTATGGGGGGAGGAAAGGATGACTCTACCTCCTTTCCACGTTCCACATTTCACATGACTGCATTTGATTGGCAGCACCCCGCTGGCAAGGAAGCCTTGATGTGTGGTTCCTCAGCTTCCGGCACCTGTACAGAAAGGGGTGAAATGAGTTTCACGAGCAGCCAGCACCCTGCAGCACAGCTCCACATCCAGGTGGGGGGGCAGCCCCACTTACACTTGGAGGTATCCTGGCACCCTACCCACTTTTTGGTAGGTGTTTGGGGGTCTGAGGCTTTGCAAAAGAAGAAAGGTGGGGAGTTTACAGCAGAGTCACATGGTGGAGACAGAGGCCTGCAGAGGTGTCACTCTACAGGGCAGCAAGTGACACACAGTCATCTTCCTTCTTTGACTGGAACAAACACCTGGGATTGACACAGAATTTGTTCTGGAATGTTCTCACTGGAATGAAAACTGAGCAGTTTGCAGGCCATACAGTATCGGAGAAAACATAGCCCTCATTGAAAAAGACTGCCAGGCTGGGCGCGGTGGCTCAAGCCTGTAATCCCAGCACTTTGGGAGGCCGAGGCGGGTGGATCACGAGGTCAAGAGATTGAGACTATCCTGGTCAGCATGGTGAAACCCTGTCTCTATTAAAAATACAAAACATTAGCTGGGCATGGTGGCGCGTGCCTGTAATCCCAGCGACTCAGGAGGCTGAGGCAGGAGAATTGCCTGAACCCAGGAGGCAGAGGTTGCGGTGAGCCAAGATTGCGCCATTGCACTCCAGGCTGGGTAACAAGAGCGAAACTCCGTCTCAAAAAAAAAAAAAAAGAAAAGGACTGCCAGAAAAAAAAAGTGTCCACAGGGAAATTCTGGGACACTTTTGCTTTGTTTTTTGAACAGTCTCACTCTGTCGCCCAGGCTGGAGTGCTGTGGCATGATCTCAGCTCACTGCAACCTCTACCTTCTGGATTCAAGGGATTCTCCTGCCTCAGCCTCTTAAGTAGCTGGGTTTACAGGCACCCACCACCACGACCAGCTAATCTTTATATATATATATATATATTTTGGTAGAAACAGGTTTCTGGGAGATTGATGTAAGGGAGTGGGCGTGTGAGTTGGAAGTGAGGCATTGGGGATCACTATTTTCTCATCTTACTGGTCTTTGGGCCCCCATTCTATTCCTTCTATACAAACCTCACAGAATTTTAACTAGGAAGGGTTAATTTTAGCCAGGAGGGGTGGCTCACGCCTGTAATCGTAGAACTTTGGGAGGCTGAGGTGGGTGGATCACTTGAGGTTGGAAGTTCGAGAGCAGCCTGACAAACATGGTGAATCCCCATCTCTATTAGATGGGTGTGGTGGCGTACACCTGTAATCCCAGCTACTTGGGAGGCCGAGGCAGGAGAATTGCTTGAACCCAGGAGGCAGGTTGCAGTGCGCTAAGATCACACCATTGCACTCCAGCCTGGGCAATAAGAGTGAAACTCTGTCTAAAAACAAACAAACAAAACAAAACCAAACAAGAATTTTAACGGGGAGAGATCTTAGTAGTTTGTCCTTTATGAGAAAGAGAAAGGGAGAGTGTCTTGCCCCATGGCCGCACAATGCACTCTGGCTTTTTCTGTTTTATTCGAATTCAAAAACAATATGTTGTCCTTTAAGCTGATGTCACAGCTCACTCACTCACCAGCGACAGCCTGCTGTATGAAGATCTGTGAGAGGGATAACTTGGCTAGTTGCACTCAGGCATTTGCTTGAGGTGATTCAACTTACGGAATAAAGCATCTAGAAAAAAAAAGAACCACTTCATCCCCCGACCCCCATCAAATGATGCCTATGAGACTTAAGTCTGAAGGGGACTGATGTAAAATGCTTCTACCTAGCATGGTTGTGCGGTTTGTTCGCTGCACCAGGGCACTGGCCAAGGGGGTGAGTGGACCAAACATCCTGCCCGTGCTCCATGCTGAGCCACATACAAAGCCCCCCCAGCTATATTGTGGGGTCCTTCTGGACAGACATGGAGAGCTTCTGAAAGTCCCACCTGCATGGAATTATTTTCACGCCCCCAGATATTGGTGACAATTACCAACGTGTACATCACAAGGGCACCGCTGATGATCTGCCACGTCAGCGAGGGCACGCCGCACAACGTCCTGCTGCAGCGCCGCTTGGCTTCCTTCTTTGACCCGAACACGCGGGCCAACGGCTGGTGCGGGCCAACGGCTGTGGCACCAGCAACCGCTCTTCTCCCGACAATTTCCGCCGGAAGTCCCGGGACGGCGCACGCTGCACGCCTCCGTCAAGTACTACGGCCAGAGCGTCACCCCCAACTTCAAGAGTGAGACGAATGCCCTCGCGGCCGACATGTGCACCAAGGCCCGCCGCATCGTGGGCAAGAGCTGGATACCCAAGGTCAGCCCAAGGTCAGGGTGCTCAAGGCTGCGGATGACGCCTACACCACCTTCATCAGTGAAATGGGCAAGGGTGA